ACACAYAAWTGCTATSTTYYAGCTYATAGYAATATGTTGKGGATCACAYTATGCTGAGGATGACATCTACTCCAATATAAAGGAAGAGAAAAACCAATGGAGAAACATAACTGACCTTTTCGACACAGAGGGAGTTCTGGGAGGAGAAGTCATGGTCCTCAATTCCAGCTTCAATCTGCAACAATGTGAAATATAGTCTTTAGTGAGCAAAGACACACAGAAAGTGTAAACAGTTCTTTAGTGATATCCTGTTTCGAATTGATTCTGCTGTGTAGGATCAGGCATGGGCCAGCTTGGGCCCTCCAGGTGTTTTGGACTACAACTCCCACAATTCCTAACAGCCTACCGGCTGTTAGGAATTGTGGGAGTTGTAGTCCAAAACACCTGGAGGGCCCAAGCTGGCCCATGCCTGTTTTAGACTGATCCTCATGCCTTGCATTCTCCCTTTTCCTTCCCCCAAACTTTCCAAAACTCAAGGAAACCCTTGCTCATAGCCTTCCCACCGCATTAACACCCAGCTGTCTACACTACCTGCAAGCACTGACTCGCTTTTGCTCCTTTTCCCGGGCGGCTGCGGCGGCTCTCAACGGAAAGACCAAACAAACACACAAACCAAAGGGCTTTATGAGCCAGCCAATCGCAAAGCGCGTAACAAATGGATCTGCCTTTCCTCCCTCTCGTCCAATCACAACTCACGATCCATGCATTTTCCCACCCGGCTTGCCTTTTAAAAAGTCCCTTTATGGGGCTCCTTGGGAAAGGAAGTTCTCAAGGTCTCCATTGAGATGTTTTCTCACACTAAGTACAGGCATCATGAATCCAACAGAAAGTGATAAAGAGCAACACTAAAAAACCAGGGGAATTCTAGAAGAGAATCAACAAGGACCAGCTAACACTTCCCAACAAAGGATTCCCCCAGGCAGCAACCAGCCAAGCTTTGAAGCTGCAAGGCCATTCAATGCTGATCAAGGTGGCCAATTGCAACATTCACAATTCAAATAGACAAAAGAGTAGATCAGGGGTCCTCAAACTAAGGCCCGGGTGCTGGATGCGGCCTTCCAAGGTCGTTTACCCGGCCCCGCTCAGGGTCAACCTAAGTCTGAAATGACTTGAAAGCACACAACAACAACAACAACACCCTTATCTCATCAGCCAAAAGCAGGCCCACACTTCCCATTGAAATACTAATAAGTTTATATTTGTTAAAATTGTTCTTCATTTTAATTATTGTATTGTTTTTAAGTGTTTTTGCACTACAAATAAGATATGTGCAGTGTTCAAAAGAATTCATTCATGTTTTTTCAAATTATAATTCGGCCCTCCAACAGTTTGAGAGACTGTGACCTGGCCCTCTATTTAAAAAGTTTGAYGACCTCTGGAGTAGATAGATATAAATGGGTTGTTGTAGGTTTTTTGGGGCTATATGGCCATGTTCTAGAGGCATTTTCTCCTGACGTTTCGCCTACATCTATGGCAAGCACCCTCAGAGGTAGTGAGGTCTGTTGGAACTAGGAAAATGGGTTTATATATCTGTGGAATGACCAGGGTGGGGCAAAGAGCTCTTGTCTGATGGAGCTAGGTGTGAATGTTTCAACTGACCACCTTGATTTTCCTAGTTCTCTCAAACTGTTGGAGGGCCGGATTATAATTTGAAAAAAAATGAATGAATTCCTATGCACACTGCTCCAGCTCCTCCTATGGGGACATGAGAGAAGCCTCCCACAAGGATGATAAAAATAATTGATTAGTGTAAATGGGCAAAAATAAATATTGATTGCCACAGGAAAAAAAAACATCAAATCATCCAGGTTGTAGGATTATTAATGGCGCGGTGGGTTATACCCCTGTGCAGGTCGCAGGTTTGAATCCAGGGAGAGGCGGATGAGCTCCCTCTATCAGCTCCAGCTCCTCATACGGGGACATGAGAGAAGCCTCCCACAAGGATGATAAAAACATCAAATGCAGACGGCCAATTCTCTCACACCAGAAGCYACTTGCAGTTTCTCAAGTCGCTCCTGACACAACAAAAAAAACAAACTACTAGCCGTCCCCTGCCACACGTTGCTGTGGCCCAGTCTGGTGATCTGGAAAATAAAGACYCAGGTTCGCATCTTGGGAGTGATCCTGGATTCATCGCTGAGCTTGGAACCCCAGGTTTCAGTGGTGACCAGGGATCGAGAGCAGGGCCTCGATCCCGCCTTCTTCGCAGATCCAATTGGCAGGAACGAGAGACAGGGCCTTCTCAGCGGTGGCCCCCCAGCTATGGAACACCCTCCCTAGGGACCAGGGGAGCATTTGCACGGTTAAAACTTGTGCGCCAGCTGCACCCATACCTTGGGAAGTCTGACTTGGCCACGGTAGTCCAGACTCTGGTTACATTACGTATAGACTCTACGTGGGGCTGCCTTTGAAGACTGTTCGGAAGCTTCAAATGGTCCAACGGACAGCAGCCAGGTTGTTAACAGTAGTGGCACTCAGGGAGCGCACAACTCCTCTGTTGCGCAAGCTTCACTGGCTGTCAGTTTGCTACTGGGCACAATTCAAAGTACTTTAGCCTTTAACGCCCTAAATGGTTCTGGCCCAGTTTACCTGTTTGAATGCATCTAGGTCAGTGGTTCTCAATCTGGGGTTCCTGAATGTTTTTAGCCTACAACTCCCATAAAACCCAGCCAGTTTACCAGCTGTTAGGATTTCTGGGAGTTGAAGGCCAAAAAGATCTGGGGACCCCAGGTTGAGAACCACTGATCTAGGTGTTTAAGCTCGTCTGGAGAGGCCCTGCTCTCGGTCCCGCCTTCTTCGCAGATCCGATTGGCGGGAACAAGAGACAGGGCCTTCTCAGCAGTGGCCCCCCCAGCTATGGAATGCCCTCCCTAGGGGCATTAGATCGACCCCCTCCCTCCTGACATTTCGAAAGAGAGTAAAGACCTGGTGTTAGAGACCCTAAATTGGGTCTTCTTAGGTCCACATCACGGGAGCACGAAAGGAAGTAGAGTCCCAAAAAAGATTTAAAAAAACAAGGTTTATTTTAGTTTCTTCATGAAGAAGACGGACAGCCTGACAGCATCCGCAGATGCTACCCTTCAAGTTACTGCCGCGTCTTCTTGGCTTTTTACCACCAATATATAACCTCAAGTAAACAAGAACATTTTTTTGTCATGGAAAGTACTCTCTTTTCATCCCCCTCCCTTGACCATTTCATGGAAAGTACCTTCTTGTACCTGCAGACTCTGCGCTTAACCACAACCTTTGAACTTAACCACAATAAACTGCCGACCTCTATATGTCACATCTTGTTTCTTAAAAACATTTTCTTCCGTGTTGCTCTTTTTCTACAGAGAAAGGGTATGTTCCTCTTTTGCTGTTAATTTCATTCAAAGCCCCTTGCTTAGCATTTGCAAATTTCACTCAAAGACCCTTTCATTGGCTGTTCAAATAGGCATTTGCAGACGCAGTATAACTGATTGAGACTCATGGAACGACAGGGCAATGCGATGGAAAATGATTTGCCTGATAAATGATAAGGCATTTATGGAACATGGCCATATAGCCCCCCAAAAAACCTACAACAACCCAGTGATTCCGGCCATGAAAGCCTTCGACAATACGGAAATGATTTTAATCGGTCTTGAGTCCTGCCTGCACAGGGGTTTAACCCACTGCGCCACAGAAGGCTCCAGTATAGTAACAGTCCCTTAATCATTAGGATTTCGAATAGCGCCTCTGAGGGAACTTGAGGCGCGGCCCTCCAGGTGGGAGGGGGGCGTTGCCGTGGCGACCGCGAGTTCTCCAGAGGGGAGGAGGGGGCAGAGGCGCGAGCGAGAGAGAAGCGAGCGCGAGCAAAGTGGGCGGAGTCCAGGTGTATGCTTTGTATGTGTGCTTATGGCAAATAGCAGCGGTGAAGGAGGGGAGGGGCTGAGCAAAACGGCTCGCGCAGGGGGCGGGGCCGTACGAAGGTTCGAAGGGGGCGGGGCCACAACCGAACCGAACAAGAAGAAGAACCTTTGAGCACCGGAAGTTCGTTGAGACAGAGAGAGAGGAGACAGCGAGAGGGTGAGATATCCTTCCGCGCTTGATTCAGCTTTGAAACCGTACCGGATGTCAACCCATTTGCGGAAGAATACATAGCTGAAAAAGAGTGCAGATGGAGGAGAGATGCGACCGCCGGGACTACTTCTTTCTCGAGGAAGGATATCCGCAAGAAAGAAAAGAAGGAGCTTTAACTGAGACACGTCACTTCCGGCGAGGCTAAAGAAGGGGGAGAAGAGAGGGGAAAAAAAACCACAACAAGCGCTGAGGAGAGAGAGAGAGAGAGAGAGAGAGAGAGAGAGAGAGAGTGGCGGCGGCACCAAAACAAACGATAGAGACGGAGAGGGAAGGAGAGGAGCTTTGGCTGAGGGAAGCCGCGCTTGGGCCGCTTGGCTCTCTCTCTCTCTCCTCGGGGCCGGGATGCCCCTCTGAGCCCCGCGCCGGCCTCCCCTTCCTCCCCGCGGGCCGTTCCCTCCGCAGCCTCGCCGCCATCATGTCGGGGGACGAGGACGGGCCCGGTGGGGCCCACTACGTGGCCGAGTTCGTGCCTCCGCCCGAGTGCCCGGTCTTCGAGCCCAGCTGGGAGGAGTTCAGCGACCCCCTCGGCTTCATCGGCCGCATCCGGCCCTTGGCGGAGAAGACCGGCATCTGCAAGATCAGGCCGCCCAAGGTACCCAGAAAGAGGAGGAGGAGGAGAAATGAGGGATGGGGACGGGGCTCAGGAAAGGAGACCGCTCAGGCCGCCATCTGCCCCTCCATCTGCTCCTGACAGGCGAGGCTTCACTTCTGAGAGATGCCAACTAGGCCTGGCTTGCCCTCGCCCTTCTCTGCTGCCTCCTTCTCAGGCCTGGAGGCAAGGAGTCGCTTCTCCTTCCCAGCAATGGCCGCTTCCCTTTACAGAAAGGGTTTCTCAACCTTCCTAATGCCCACGACCCCTTCGTAGAGTTCCTCATGTTGTGGTGACCCCCCCAACCATAATTTTTTTTTTTGCTACTTCATAACTAGGTTCTTGTGGGTTTTTTCGGGCTATAGAGCCATGTTCTAGAGGCATTTCTCCTGACGTTTCGCCTGCATCTATGGCAAGCACCTCTGAGGATGCTTGCCATAGATGCAGGCGAAACGTCAGGAGAAATGCCTCTAGAACATGGCTCTATAGCCCGAAAAAACCCACAAGAACCTAGTGATTCCAGCCATGAAAGCCTTCGACAATACTTCATAACTATAATTTATAACTTCATAACTATATTAAAAAAAACTCTAAAATTACAACAGCAAAACAACAGAGAGGAAACAACTAGGCACAGATTAACACCTCCCAGCAAGAGATTTTCCCAGGCTCAGGCAGGCCTTCAAATGCTAATGAAGGTGATCAGCTGAAACATTCACACCTAGCTCCAGCAGGGAAGAGCTCTTTGCCCCACCCCAGCCATTCCACAGATATATAAACCCATTGTCCTAATTCCAACAGACCTCACTACCTCTGAGGATGCTTGCCATAGATGCAGGCGAAACGTCAGGAGAAATGTCTCTAGAACATGGCTCTATAGCCCAGAAAACCCCACAAGAACCTAACTATAATTTTGCTACTGTTATTAATTATCATGTAAATATCTAATTTATTTTATTATAATATATATAATAAATTATATAAATATCTGATTTGCAGGACATATTTTCATTC